AAAAGAAGAGAAAGGAAAGGAAAATAGTAATAAACGAATCATTATGAATATTCGCTTCAAATTCGTAAAATAAACTAATTAAAAAAAGAACCAGTACACATAGACATAGGTAGACATAGGCATAGACATAGACATATATAGGAACTAGTCAAAGCTAGGAACAATAACGGAGGTAGAAGGGAAGAGGAAAAGACAGCTGAAGATGAGATGATGAATTAAAAACAATTAAAAAAATAAAAATAAGGTAGAGAACGACTTGGTCAGTCGCAAAGATGTATGCACACACACACACACTGGGGTGTCAGACGCTCACACACACTAACAAGAGAGTCGCATTGTAATTTACAGTTCAATGGAAGAATCAAGAAAACTTGGAAAATGTCGTTTAAAAACAAAAGAAAAGTAGTTGTTTGGATGGTGAAGGAAGTGGAAGTAATAGAAGTGCAAAGACACAGATCAGGCAATAAAAATAATTAGGAAGGCAGTTGGGTATTTTATTTATTTATTTAAAAGAAAACAAGGCACGACAAGAGAAAACAAAAATAATTAAAATATAAAAATGAAATAAAAGAATATAAAAAAATTAAAAGCAGGGAATTTGGGAGCGAGGAAGAGAGAGATATGGACATACACAGACGCAGGCACAGACACAGACACAGCAGAAGGATTAAAAGCAATATCAATTGAGAAAGCAAGTAGGAAAATGAGAGAGAAATAAGTGTATAAAAAGAATAAAAACTGAAAAAATCGTAAAAATTAGAGGGAAAGAGAGACGAAGGAATACAACGATGAGATACAGTCGTAGTAAAAGACAACACACTCTCACCCACACATAAACACAACACAGGAAAGACAACAAACATTCGCAAGTCGCAACAGAGAGTCGTAAGACACAGACAAAGTAGTAAATAGAAGAGACAGGTAGAAGAAAGTAGGGCACAAGAGACATGGGCGACACAGAGTGAGAGGACTGATCAGAAGTCAAGGATGCATATGAACATATAAACATAGTTGTATAATTATATAAATAGATAATAACATAAATTACATAATTACATAATTACATAATTACATAATTACATACTAACAGGGAGAATCGCAAAGACAGTCGTAGACACAGAGACTTAAACATAAACATAAACATAAACATAGACAACGGAAGATACGAATAAAGAGTAACGGAATAAAAGAGAACACAGTCGCTAAAAATACAGTGGCGTATAAAAAAATAAAAAATAAAAAATAAAAAATAAAAAATAACAGAAACATTCGTAAGACAAACACATGGGAATGAGATGTAGTGAGAGGGAAAAAGGTAGAGAGCAGATGAACCCAAGTAGAAGAGAGACACTA